ATAAATGTCTCAACTTTATCCTTCTTCATAGCTGAGTAATACTCTATTGTATAAAAATACCACATCTTTTCTATCCATTTCTCAGTTGATGGGCATTTGGATTATTTCCAAGATTTAACTATGACAAATTGTGCTGCTATAAACATGGGTGCACATATATCGCTGCGGTATGATGCTTTCAATTCTTCTGGGAAAACAACCAGAAGGGGAATAGCTGGTTTGAATGGGACCTCTACTCCTAGTTTTTTGAGGAATCTATGCACTGATTTTCACAGTGGTTGCACGAGTCTGTATTCACATCAACAGTGAAGAAGAGTTCCTTTTTCCCCAGAGCCTCACCAGCATTTGTTATTGGTTGATTTCTTGATGGTAACCATTCTTTCTGAAGAGAAATGGAACCTCGGTGTTGTTTTAATTTGCACTTCTCTTTTTTTTTTCCATCTTTTTGAGACAAGGTTTCACTATGCTGTTCAGACTGGCCTTGAGCTCACTTTGTAGTCCAAGCTGGCCTTGAACTCGTAATGATCCTTCTGCCTCAGCCTCCTCAGTGCTGGGATTACAGGCATGTGCCACCATGCCCAGCTTCCATTTCTTGAATGACCAATGATGTTGACCATTTTTTCATATTTTAATTTGCTATTTGTATTTCTTCATCTGAGAAGTGTGTGTTCTCAGGTGCTCGTTTTTGGATTGGCTCTTTCTCTGTTCTAGATATAAGTCCTGTGTCTTTTGTCTTTTTTTTTTTTTTGAGACAGGGTCCTGCTATGTAGTTCAGGCTGGGTTTGAGCTCATTTTGTACTCCAGAATGGATTCAAACTCTGAACGATCCTCCTGCCTCAGCCTCCTGAGTGCTGGGATTATAGGCAAGCGCCACCACACCTGGCTTTGTCTTTTGTCTTTTTGAGACAAGATCCCACTATGAAGTTCAGGTTGACTCTGAATTCACTATGCATTGTAGGGTAGATTGGAACTTGCACAGATCTTCCACCCTCCCAAATTTTGGGACTGTAGGCATGTGCCACCACACCTGGCAGTTGAAGAGCCCTACATGATCAGATAATCTCCACATTACAGAATTTCACTGAAAGAATAGTCAATAATCTTATTTATTTATTTATTTATTTATACAGTCTCACTACATAGTTTACACTGAAGTCAAACTCAGATGTACTTCTCTCTTTGCCTCCTGAGTACTGGGATTGCAAGGATGCCTGGCTTCAGGTTGATTCCTATAGTAGCCTGTAGAATAAAGTTTATTTTTTAATTAATTAATTAATTAATTCTTTGCATGAAGGGGGGCTGGGAGGTCAGTGGCTCAGGATGGGCAAAGACAAAGACACTATGATGCATACACAATGATAGGAGGGGTTAGGGGAAGATTCAAGGTCTGTGGAAGATTCAGATGACCCAGGGGCAATAGATAATTTAGGGTGACTCAGGAGGGCAGAGATGATCCCACGCTAAGTAGGCTCTTTCCTGGAGTGTTTTAAATTTATTATTATTATTATTATTATTGGTCTTTTTGAGACAGAATCTCACTGTGCAGTTCAAGCTGGCCTTGATCTCACTTTGTAGCCCAGGCTGGCCTCAAACTCTCAATGATCCTCCTGCCTCAGCCTCCCGAGTGCTGGGATTATAGGCGTGCGCCACCACGCATGGCTGCAGTGTTTTTAATCTTAGTGGTTTTAGTTTAGTCTTAGTGGGTGGGAGAGGATGGCCCATCCCTAAAGAGTTAATGGGAAATCTCAGAAGCGTGATTCTCATAGTTCCGTGACTCTGTTTATCCCTTAGTGAAGTACACAAAATTAGCCACTGTGAACCTGTGGTCCCCAACAGCTCTTCACCCTGTGTGGGGCAAGACCAGTGATGATGAGTATTCTTTCAAGTACTTACTGGCCATTTGTGCTTCTTTTCCTGAGAAGTGTCCATCCACTGCAGTCACCTATTTTATAAAACCGGACATGTGGATCCGTGAAACAGAATAGATCCTATAGAAACAACCCCAGGCACATCCAGCCATCTGACGTTTGACAAAGGGGCCAAGAGCACATGCTGAGAGAAAGACAGCCACTTTAACAAATGGTGCTACACCAACTGGCTGTGTACGTGCAGAAGACTGAATCTAGAGCCCTACTGCTCATCATGTACTGAACTAAAATCAAAATGGATCACAGATCTAAACCTTAAAAGAGAAACAATCTGCTGGAAGATAAAATAGGTAAAATTCTTCAATAGGTGTAGGCAGGGACTTCTGAACAGAACCACGGTGGAAGAAGAAATGATATCAAGAATCAATAAATTGGATCAAATCAAATTGAAAAACTTCTGCACAACAAAGGAAGCAACCAAATAAGTGAAAAGAGATCCTACAGAATGGGAAAAATATTTT